CTCACCTACATCGTCCATATAGGACGACTCGGGAACTCAACTCCTACCCCGGGCAGCTCACCTATCCCCTTATGCCCAGGGGAAAGGTATCAAGCCGTTTGACAGCTGATGCTAGCTGTCAAACCGGCTTTTACGCGAAACAGGCGGGAGGCAGCAAACAGCTGCGACCGACGAAGACGCCTGCCACCGGAAGTCTCCTGTTTCTATATTTCTTTAAATTATTAAGATATCAGCCATGGTTCTCTTCTCTTCTCTTCTCTTCTCTTCTCTTCTCTTCTCTTCTCTTCTCTTCTCTTCTCTTCTCTTCTCTTCTCTTCCCTTCCTTTCCCTTCCTTTCCCTTTCTTTCATGTCCAGTGTAACTTTTTTTATCCATGTCTTTCTTGTAGCCTGTCATTTGTAAATCCACTTTCAACTCAGTCTTGAAGTTCTCAGATAGAACTTGTTTTCATGTCACATGTTTTAGACACAGTCTATTCATGGAAGCAGATGTCTCTGTTGACACTATTAAAATTAGGTTCTGAATTCATTGTTCAAAAATATCCTCCAATATGTGCAATGTCAGAATATTTTGCTTCGTTCTGTAATTGTAAATCAAACTGATGTCTTCTTTTCCTTCCGTTTTAATCTCTAGTTCCCTCTAGTGCCCAGATTTTTAAATCTTATCTTACATACTTTAAAAAATAAATAAATAAATAAAACAAAACAAAATGGGAAGAATTCTTTATCATTAATTCCAAAATTTTATTTCAAATTTATCTGCTAAGTTTTTAAAATCATAGTTTCAAGCACCCTTTGGCAATTTATTAAAAAAAAAATATTCTTAAGCTTGTAGTTAAAACATTCCTTTCTTTGAAAGAAACTCATCTAGTGCTATAAAACTTTTTGGTACAAGGATTCCTAATATCTGAAAAAACAGTTAACCTGTAATTTCCAGAAGCAATTGTGAACTTTGTATCCTTTCAAAGGTATTAACCATGGTGTGAGCAAAATGTCTTCCACAGTTCTAAACCCACTGAAGACTTCTATCTTGCTGTCTTCTCATGAGAAGCAGCTGTCTGGAACATTTGTGGTTGATCTCAGCTCCTTTCTTTGTCTGGAGAGGAAGAGCTGATTTACCAGCTCTTAGTTTAATTTTAATCATCTCCCAAGGTCAGTTTCACATTTTTGTATATCAGTCCACCATTTCTTCTTCTGGAAGTCCCTGCTTTTCTGAACCTTACGGATTTTTTTTTTCTTTTTCTTTTAGTTTAATTTGTATTAGTTTGCATTATGTTTATCAAATTTTCAATTAAAATAGCAATAGCATTTAAACTTATATACCGCTTCACGGAGCTTTACAGCCCTCTCTAAGTGGTTTACAGGGTCAGCATCTTGCCCCCAACAATCTGGGTCCTCATTTTACTGACCCCGGAAGGACGGAAGGCTGAGTCAATAGCAATAGCACGTAGACTTATATACCACTTCAGAGTGATTCACAGTCTTCTCTAAGCGGTTTACAAAATCAGCATCTTGCCCCCAACAATCTGGGTCCTCATTTGACCGACCTCGGAAGGATGGAAGGCTGAGTCAACCTTGAGCCAGTGAGAATCGAACTGTCGAACTGTCGAACTGCAGGCAGCCAGCAGTTAGCAGAAGTAGCCTGCAGTACTTCATTCTAACCACTGCACCACCATAGCTGCCACAATATCACATAAATTTATGTAATTACTTCACTGATCAGTGGCAATTTATAATTTTCAAAAAAAAACACCAACCCAACCCTTCACAGAGTTTCTATAAGTGATTTGCTTAATAGATACTCAGAATTCTGGCTTCACAAACACTAAGTGGTCATGATTCTAACATCTGCACTTCCAGTTCCTGTGTGAGGTTTTTAAAATTGCTGTAGGGCAAGAATAAATCAAGATGAGTTTGGAAAGTGCTTTATGTCACTCTGGTGGTGATGCAGGACCAAAATATGAAATCAGACAGATGATTAATATCTCACCTATGTGTAACACTCATAATCTAATAGCATAAAGCAATGTTTAAGGAGCTACATAATGGAGAACATCAACTTGAGGTTTATTAATCACTAAATTTGGAAGTCTATTCCCCATCTCTCCCCCCTCCACGTGTATTTGATGTATTAAATATCTGATCTGTAAAATGTACAAAAGCAAGCTTAAAAAATCATCTCAGGCGCAAATCTCTTTAACTCAAATCTGTTTATACATTACTAGGCTAACATTATGACTATGATGTAGCACATGGAGCAGATAAGCTGTTGGACTTGAATTAGGGAAACTGTTTCAAGTCCCAGTTCAACTTTGGAACTCAACTTTCTGCCAATTATTCACCACCTAAATCCAACTTATTATAAAGGGCTGTTATTATGGGAAGAAAATAGGGGGAAAATATACTGTATTTTTCCATGTATAAGGCACTATTTATTCCTGCAAACACCCTCTTCAAAAACCAGGTGCGTCTTATACACGGAAAAATAATGGTAACCTCCGCAGACCAGGGCATGCCTGTGTGGGTTGCCATGACACCTGGTGCAGGTGTCAAGCCCCTCTGGGCTTGCCACTAACAGGAGGGGGCAGGGGGCAAGATCTTCTGCCAAGCCGAACTTGCGGATTTGCCAGCTCAGCTGTTTGGCGCGGAGAGTGTCTTATACACAGGTGAGTCTTACAGACGGACAAATACGGTATGTTGCTTGGTTTTCTTGGAGAAAAGCAAACTAATAAATAGCAACAATAATTAGTGGCGATCCACACTGTTAACTAACTTCAAGCAATGCTCAAAGAGAAGCGGTGGAAGCATTATGTTGCAACACGATGCCCTGCTTGTTATTGCTCCCTTGCCTTTCTTCAACACAGGTGGATTCATTCCACGGGCAGAAATCCACTCAAAGGTTAGAGGAGCAGATCAGGACGTGCTGTAGGAGATGATCAAGGGAATGATCAAATGCATCATCAGTATGAAGTCACTACACCCCTGTAAGAGACCCATGTCCAGCCCCCCCCCGAAGTCCGTTGACTCTTATCTGGCGCCAATTGGCCTTGTCCATTAGTAGATCAGGTTCTTGTATATAGGTAGCATTGGAATAAACTCATAGTGATTTTAGAACTTTGTCCTGGCTCCTCATTTCCTCAGTGGGATGCACCTGGCTAAAATGTGCTTCATGTGGGGCTTGAAAAGTGTTTGATTAAACATGGCAGAAGAAAGAAAGAAAGAAAGAAAGAAAGAAAGAAAGAAAGACAGGGAGGGAGGGAGGGAGGGAATGAAGGAGAAAGAGAGAGAGAAAGGAAGAGAGAGAAAGGAAAAGAGAGAGGGGAGGAGATAGGGAAAGAAAGAAAGAAAGAAAGAAGGAAGGAAGGAAGGAAGGAAGGAAGGAGAAAGAGAGAGAAAAGAAGAGAGAGAAGAGGGAAAGGGAGATAGCGAAAGAAAGAAAGAAAGAAAGAAAGGAGGAAGGGAGGGAGGGAAGGAAGGAATGAAGGAGAAAGAGAGAGAAAAAAGGAAGAGAGAGAGGGGAGAGGGTGATAGGGAAAGAAAGAAAGAAAGAAAGAAAGAA